TTAGTTTTGACTGAGTGTTGATTGCATAGCTAACCTCTTCAAGGCTTGCTTAGAGCTAGTGGCTAAATGTTTTAGTGAGCTTATTGCGGTTGAGTTGGATTTGAGTTGTCATTTCGTTTGTGCTTGTCTATAAACTTTTATCTCATACTTGGGGTATCATGTTCATGTTGGACAAGTATATAACTTGATGACAAGAGTTGGTGTTTGGGTTTTGTGAAGGCAAGTTGAGGAGTGATTGTTAATTGCTTTGCGACTAATGATTACTTGTAGACTTCGTCAAAAACTATTGACACTTGCTTTGCTCAATAATGATTTTATAGCGATGGGCTTGCTTTACCGGTTAGTGTTGTGGAGGATCGTGTTGTTAGACCTACATAGGTTTTCCATGTTAGCATATTAACTCTACCTCTGTTGATATCATTTGGTTACGTTAAATCCGTAGTGTTAGATTTCATTGAATCTTGGATGTGGTGATTCACTCATTGATGATGTGTTATCTGAAACTCAGTATTGCTGAAGGTTTAGTCTCGGATATTGATTAAAGTATCTTCGACATTGGTTAGCTTAGTTGGTAAAGAGTTTGGGTGGTGATTCACTCTTGCTTTCTTCATGGTGTTGATGGCATTGAAATGATGTCTTGTCGTTGACATTGTTAATGTTGAGATTTGAGTGAAATGAAATGTCTCTCTGTAGGATTGATATTGAATTTCATTAGTCTTGATGAAAATAGTGTTGATGATTTGGCTATGGCTTTGTGTTATTAGTATTCATGCATTTGCTAGTTAGCAACTATGTCGGCGTTTGAATGAGCTGAGTGGCCAATTTGAGTTAGTTGCGTTTTAGACGAGATTATTTAGTAGAGGTTGAGCTTTAGCTTTTCCTTGAAAAGTGATTCAATCGTGGACTATGCTAACTTTATAAGAGGAAGAGTTAGTGATCGATATTGAAGATGCTGAGTCTTTATTAAATTTTAGTTGGGATATATTAATCATTGATGATTTCTCTTGGGCTTGTTATGAAGTGAGTTACGTCTTGCTATAAATGAATTCATGGAGGATCGTTTAGTGTTCACTTGTTAGGCATAACTTCATTGTGTTTCGCTTTTGGATTGATGCAAATATGCTCTTCATTAGATTTGCATTATGAAGTGTAGCTTATGTGTTGAGGAGGATATTATGGATTGTGCTATGATTTCTTCTTTAACATTGAAGTTAATTCATCTGAAACTTGTGATCATTGTTAGGCAAGACTTAGCTATAGGCTTCTTTAAGCTTTTGGTTCTTTGAGTTTTGTATGCTCATTGTTCCACTTGTTAGAAGTTGTTGAGGGAAGGCATTTCAGCTCATTAGCTTTAATATTGAAATTAGTATTTACATCTGGAAATTATTGATGATGATTGACTATTATCTAGGATAGTTAATTATCCTTGTTAAAGGTTTTGTTTGATTATTATTAATATAGAATGGTTTGCTATTCTTCAGGATGGTGGATTCATTCTTCGATAATGATTATGCATCTCTTTATTGATGGGATGATTAATGATCTTTCATGATGGTTAATTGTTCTCTTTGATGGCTTATGGCTTTTCGCAATACCACATGTTCTTTGTGGTTTGCTTTGGATTGGTCTCTTGGGTTTGAGACATCAGCAGAATGTTGCTAACGCTTGCTAAAGCAACTTGAGTTTCTTCATATTGTTGACCGGGATTTATTTAGATTAGCTTGTGTGATGATTGGTATGACTAAGTGTTTGTTGGTCTTACCACATTCATTCGGTTATGTTGATTGTTGCTCAAGTTAGTTCTAATAGATTAGGATGTTATTTCCTTCGAGTGATACATTCGCGAGCATTGTGCTTATCAGTTAAGGATACTTTGTGTTCTTTGAGTTATGTTTGGTAAGTTGTTTAACATACTGTCTACAATCTTCGGTAGTTAAGTTTTCTCATTGAGTTTACTTGATGATATACTTGCTATTGAATTTTATTGGATAGTGAATCCTATGTTTTCTAATGATAGTGACCTTGGTGGTTCCTATCCGATAATACTGGTTTATCAGGTGGTACAAATATATGGATAAACATCATTCTTTAAAAAAAAAGGTAATAATGATGAATTATTATTGGTGTACATTTGTAGTTCGTGGGGTGTCAAGGAACTTGGATTTAACTCAGTTTTGGAGGAAAACTATCTCAACCGTATATGATTAATATGGAGGGTGATTGACTAGATTTGATTAACAACCATCAAGCTTGATCACCAAATGTTGACACTTCAAATTCATGGAGAATATATTGAAGACCTTCTTCAGAGATAGATCTTGAAGATGAAATTAAAACCCAGTACCTGAAGCTTTTTGTAGTTGCTTTAAGAAAACTAGGATTGGTACTTAGTGAATGATAAGATGCCGATACCATGGATGATATCCTAGACAAGCTTGGTGAAGCACGAGTGTTTACCAAGATTGATATGAGGAGTGGATATTATCAGATTGCAATGGATGATGCATTTATTTCTAAAACGGTATTCAACACAAGCTTAGAACATTTCGAATTTACAATTATGCCATTTGGTTTGACGAATGCACTAGCCACATTTACTCAGTTGATGACTGAGGTATTTAGGTGTTATTTTCATGAGTTTGTGGAGATTTTCTTGGATAATATTCTTGTTTTCAACAAGAATATAGAGGACCATAAGGTGCATTTGCGCAAGGTTCTTTTGTTACTCCATGACAGCAAATTTTATGCAAAAAAGAGCAAATATGAATTTGCAAAGTCAGAGGTGGAATATTTAGGCCATATTGTGACATCTAAGGGTGTCAAGATAGATCCAAGGAAGGTGGCTGTGGTGGAGAACTGACCTACACCAACTATAGTGGCCGAGTTATGCAATTTCCTTGGAATGGCTAGTTACTACTGACGTTTTCAACATAAGTTTGTAGAGGTGGCTATTCCTTTGATACAGTTGTTATGCAAGAATATGCTATTCGAGTGGAAGAAGCCATAAGAGGAGAGTTTTGTGGCACTGAAACGATTGTTGAGTGAGGCTCCAATGCTTCGCATTGTTGATCCATCGAAACCTTACAAAGTGACATGCAATGCAAGTGATTATGCACTGGAAGGAATTCTCATGCAAGAGGGACAGCTTATTGCATATGAGAGTCAAATTTTGAATCCCTTAGAGCAACGCTATTCCACATATGAGCAAGAGTTACTCTCTATTGTTTATGCTTTGCAGACATGGCGGCACTATCTTTATGGTGCAGTGTTCATAATGTTGATGGATCACAAACCACTTGTGTATCTTTTCACACGGAAAGAGTTGAATACTAGGCAAGCTTGTTGGATGGTCAAACTCATGGAGTTTAGGTAATTTCCTATTAAGCATCATCTGGGAAAATCAAATGTGGTAGCGGATGCTTTATCTTGTGTTCTTAATGTGACGGCATTACAAACATGGTTTTGTCATCATTTGAGTAAGGTGGTCAGCAAGTTTGAGCAGTTGATTGAGCGTGCTCAAGCTCAGAATGCTGAGGTGGCCTATTTGCAAGATTAAATGGAAGCCCCTTTCTCATTGGTGGATGGGATTCTCTACTACAATGGCCGTGTCTATTTGCCACGGGTGGATGTGTTAATTACTCAAGTTTTATTCCACTATCATGATCGTCTAGAGGCCGGTCATTTTGGGGGGAAGAAGATGTATGAGTTGATTAAGCACAATTTTTATTGGAGGAATATGAAGGACTTTTGCAACCTTTACCTATTCCTTAGAGCCATTGGTATAGTATCTCTATAGAATTCATCACTAGTTTGCCATGAACACTGAGGCAAAAGGAGCAAATATGGGTCATAGTGGATCGGTTGATGAAGTATGTGTGGTTGTTCGCTCTTTGGAAGACTATCACTGCCTTGACTTAGCTGCGGTCTACTTGGACAAGGTTTTACCTGATTTTAGTTTGCCGGAGGACATCATTAGTGATCAAAATTCAAAGTTCACAAGTGGATTTTGGAAGAGCTTTGCAAACGCTATGCAAGTGACTTTGAAACTCTCAAGTGAAGATCATCCTCAAACGAATGGGCAAACCGAGCATGTGAATCATGTGGTGGAGGATATGCTACATTATAACATTGGTTAAAGGCAAGGACAATGGGATTTATATCTTCCATTGATGCAATTTGCTTACAACAATAGCCAACACAGATGAACAAAACTAACTCCTTACTTTGCCATGTTTGGAAGGCATCCCCAAACAGCGGTGGAGTTGGGATTTCATTTGAGTAAGGATGTTCAAGATAAGCTTGATTCAGAGGCAACTGATCTAGCCACAGAACTTGATGAGATTCTGGTGGTGTGCAAACGGAATTTGTAGGTAGCTTAGGATAGAGCAGAGAAATTTGCTAATGAGCATCGCCATTTCCAAGAATATAAGGTGGGTGATCTTATCTTTGTGCGAGTGATTTTTCCATCAAGTGAGAGATGGAACACATTAGTGCCTTTATGGATAGGGAAAAGTGAGAAACTTTCCCATCAATATGCTGGTTCATATAAAGTGCTGGAGTGTATTGGTAAAGCAGCTTATTGGGTGCAGCTGCCGCTGGGGTGAAAATTCATCCGGTATTTTATTTCAGCCAGTTGAAAGGTGTAATATCTCGGAGTGATGGGCCCAATGCCTCCTTGATGTATACGGCTGTGGAAGATGGACCAGGAGCTTGAGTAGGGTTCCCCAAAAAGGGTGATCACCGGTACAACTCGTCCTTGGGACAAGAACTTTGTTGGGGGGGAAGAATTGTTAGGTGCCAGCTTTGACCACATGGTCAACATTGGTCAAAACTAGACTCAAGGGTATATTAAGGCATGTTAAGGTAAAGGACTAACCTACCCTAGGGCTCACAGTGGAGCGGCGGCGTAGTGGAGCTTTTGAGGTAGATCGGGGGTGGTTGGGTGGTGAGGAACCTCAAGAGGAGGTATAGTGTAGTCTAAGAAGACTTTTCGCGCTGGATTATAACACAAGTGCAAGCATGTTTTTCTTTACATTGGCATTGATCCGTTCTCCATCAGGAATTTCCTTTCTACCTACAATGTAGATAGGTTGCATCTCTGCACAGGAGCTCTCAGCTTCCTGGCATTCCTATGGACGTCATCCACAATGAGATGAAGTATGTAGACCAGCCCAAGCCAATTTTCCAAAGAACGCGTCATTGCCACAATTCTCTTTAAGAAGACTTTAAAAGTTGCTGGTTGCAACTTTATTGTCCCTGCCCAAACAGCTAAGTGGGTGAGCAACATAGTTTGACCCAAACGGGAACGTTGGGATCTTTGTGGACTTCTGCAATCTCAACAATAGAATGGCATGCTCAAAGACCAGGTTTTGAGATTTTCTGGAGCATTGATGTGACAGCCTTAATTGTTAGGAGCCATCTTTGACCACGTGGTCAACGCGGGTCAAAGGTAAGCTCAAGGGTATATTCAGGCATAGACTTAGGAGGGTAAGGATTTAATCTATATTACGGGCTTACAGTTGCAGTGGCAGCACAGTGGAGTTTTTGAGGTAGCTTGGGGTTAACCTTCAGGTTTTTAGATTACTCTGTATTGTTTAGGGTGAATTTCCATACCATCCTGATCCCTTTTTCAGCTGGGGGCAAAGTTGTTAACATTAGTGCTTCTGCTCGCATGTAGCAGCGCCAGTGTGAAGCGTCAATAACATCTGTAAGCTGATTTAGATTATTTCAACGAGGTCGTTATTGCTACTTGTAGACATATGTCTTGAATGAATTTATCTATGCTTTTAGAATATGTGGTTAAGAGGCTATGCAGTTCCAAGTTGCTACTGCACCACAATGAGCTTGACTTGGCCTCATACTGCTCTAAATTTTGTGATGTCTAGTTTGGCAAATGCTAAATTTTTGTCGTAGTGCTTCATTCATAGCTGTATTGTTTTGCTTCTGGAACACACTTAGCTGCTAAAAGCTTTGAAATGGACATTTGTACTTTGTCATCAATGCCAGAAAATTCTAGGTTCATTTCTTTCATAATTTTTCCTGCTTCCTGAAAACCCATGACGTAATCATGGTCACGTAATATACAATTAGAAACTTTACCAAAGCAGCAAGAATGGCATTTCCACCACTCTCTCCAATCCCCTTGTTTGATGAGACATCAACTCCATTTAGTCCAGACTTTGGATTGTGTAGAAGTCTGGTAAGGGCCGCTACAGATAACTCTCCTAACTGACAACTGGAAAGGCTCAATCTCTGGAACAATAATTGCGACAACTGGCTTGAATCGTAAGAGCAACTGTACCTCTAAAGTATTGTTGATATATAAGGCCTCAAAGATAACCTGCCCTCCTTCATCTAGGATAGAATTGTGTCTCAAATTTATATACAAAAGCACGGAGTTTGTTTTCAAAGTTTCCGCAATGTTTATTGCACCTGCATCAGTTGCACCTCAGATGAATTAGCTGTTAAGGGAAGACTACCTTGCGTAGTTATACAGTTGTTGCACAAATTCAGAACCGTTAAAACCGATTTATCTGCAGACATAAGTCTCATAATTTCAATGACTCCAGCATCCGAAATATAATTGTGTGAAAGATCTAGATGCACAATAGTAGGATTGGCAGCCATGCCGTTCACAAGAATTTCTACCTGTAGTGTCAAAAGTAAGGCAAAATTACGGAAGAGTTTGAAGAATCTTCACCTTTTTATCGTCAATCAAATTATAAGAAAGCGTTAGTTCACTTAGCGCTAAAGAAACCCTTAGCGCAGCAGACACGGATCGACAATCTGATGTCTTCATACCAAACCTGAGTTTATCGTACTCCATGCCCACATTCCGGCTTCCATACTCGATCTTTAGTGTCTCTATTTGACTGGGACATTAAAACATTCGAATATCAGGCGAAGTGACCATGACAGAATTACCTGGCTAGTGGAACGAGAAAAACAGATATGTTTAAACGAGATGGAAGCTGGTAAATTATCAGATTGTGAATGTATTGCGCACATATATGAAGCATGTTCGTGAGTGCAGACTCTTCAGAGCATGTAGGATCAAAGCTGTACCAGGAGCACAAAAAAGAAACTTCTACAACCAAGCAATGAAACCAACCTTTCCAATGCGTCTGAGAAATACCGCTCAAAAAAAAGCTGCTTCCACGAGCGTCCGTGGGCTGCAATGTCGCTATTACTCCAGTGTAGCCTCGATCTTCTCTCCCAATATTCATCTTCATATATGAGCTACGTCAAAAAATTATACGTGTTATCTCTTATGCTTTCAATAAGTGTGTGTAAAACTGCTTACATAAGCTGCAAGGTCCAGTGGCAAGTCCAGCGGTAGCAAGGTAACAACTTTGGGTCGAAGGTCAAGTGAAATATAGCCAAATGTTGGGAAACATAAGAAGTTTGCAGCCATGACCGGAATACAGAGATCCACAAGAGAAGGTCTGAAAAATCTTGTGGCAATATAGCCCCGTGGGCGACCTCCATCTGATCCAGCACTTTCACTGCTCTCCCGAGACCTTGGTGTCGCTGGCTTGCTTATATTTGTTGTAATACTTGATGTTGTAGGCGTGGGGGTGGGTGCAGATGGTGCTGGTGTTGTGGTGTTTGATGAATCAGCCATTAGGGCGAAACTGTAAATTTGAAAGTATTAAGTTAGCAATACCAAAACTTACTTGAGTGGCCTTACCTCTGGGATCCAAGTCTAGGCAAAGGAATAGACGGAAAGGTAGGGCGACTAACGTACGTGTGGTACTTATGTAGAGCAAACATGTGTGCAATTTTTTTTTAAAAAAATCACGAAGCATCGATTGCTTGGCATTCTTGCGTTCATAAAAAACAAGTTTAATGACGATATCAGCCTCAACACTCTCGCTTTTCTGCGTTTTTGCGCCTTCGTGAAGGAGAGCTCAGTACTTTCAGATAGTAACAAACATCAAGTTGTTCCATGCGACTTCATTGGAATCATCAAAAGACAGCAATCAGTGATTTTGAGAAGTAAGAAGATTGTTAATACTCTCGTTACCACAGGCTGACGATTCATTCAGATGAGATTGTCAGTAAATTGTCATAACAAACGTCTGCCCAAACAGACGTGTTTGCTTATGGCAAGGTTACAAATGATCAAATCCAGATTTTGATTTGATATCAAGTGATGTTATCAAATTATCATCTATGTGCTGTTATCTTCAAAGATGTAGGCAATAGCAGCATCAATGCAGGGAAGAATGCTGTATCCGCCATAAGTGTATAAGTTTTGGAAAGCATTGCCATAGTTGCTCAAGAAAGAGAAAGAGATTGAAAAACTATAGACCATGTCACAAAAAGCATTTGTGAGAAGACTCATGCATATGTACCATCATTCCCGCCCAGCAAATGTCTGGTAAATCTGAGAGAAAAGCTTTCACACTCCCACCGGGACCAAGTATGGAAGTAAAAAAACCAATTTTTTTTGAGCTACCTGCTAAAGAAATGAAAACAACATGAGCAAAGAGCAAGCTTTTTTTTCTTTCAAAACCTGAAGCTCGGGCTGTCTAGCTTGAAGGCAAGCTCTCTGGCTGCTGCCACCTGAAAATCAGTGTTGGCAAGGATGCATTCGTGTCCCAGGCCATCTATGAGAAGATCCTCTGGTGTTTCAATCCCACAAACAGCAACAACAACCAAACAACCAACTTGAGTTCCTTCAACTCAATCACGAAGTAGACTGTCTCTCAGTTTCTCTGAGTGACCAAGTCAGCTTGCAGGGAGACTTGTGATACTACAAATATTAAACCTGGTGAATCAATCCTTGTAAGAGTGCCTTGGCTGGGAATTGAGTAGCATGTGCATGGCCTTGCCACCAGTTTTCACCATCTATGCTCGGGTTACTACAAGAAAAAGCTTTGTTAGCTTCTTCTAAGAGATGAAAGAAAAACTTGAGCTACCTTCTGCAGTTCCATAAGCTAAGGAGTCCTTGCTGGTACATCCAAGCACATGAAGTTGCTATGGTAAAAATTTGATAGCATAGACTGATTTTGTTTTTGAGTTGTATTTGTTATTATCACAGATTCAACAGCTGAAAGGGTGTTAAATCTTATCAAGTGGTGGGCTATTCAATGAGCATGATAAAAATTACAAATAGATAGAGAAAAAGAAGAAACAACATGTGATACAAATAGCAGATAGCTTAAAAAAAATATAAAGTTAGAATTTATGATAGGGTCCTCCCATAATAAATTTAAATGATCATATTAAAAAATTTAAAACTTTCACAATAATCTTTATAAATTCAAATAATACATCTTTTTAATTATTCATAATGTAGCTACTGAATATTTATATTACTATTGCAGTAATATTAATGGCATACATTGGAAATTGGATTAGAGAAGTAACAAAAACATGGAATTTTGTCATGCATGATGACATTTTAACACTTCTATAACCATCCAGGTTTATGTAAACAACCAAAAAGAACAACTCAAGAAACAATCTGCTAGGGTTCAAATATAAAGGGAAAGGGCTCATGAATAAAATTGCACTTTCTTTTTCAATCGGTTAAGGGTTTTGGGATACTTGGGGTTAAGTGTTCTTGGGTTTGGATAGTATTGGGCTAAGTAACCTTCTGGGAAGTCCAAACTCAGGAGCTTACAGTTTACTTCTTCTTCTAAGCAAAGAAACTTTATTATATCATTCACCACTATAGTGTTCAGAAAATGTTAATCATGTCACTAATAATCACTATTTATAATACAATAATAATAAGAAAAATATGTATATATATATATGTATGTATATGTATATGTATACATATACATATACATATACATATACATATATATATATGTATATGTAGTATAAATCCCATCTGAAAACATGTTTATTTCTTTTAATCTACAACGAAAATAGTTTATATATTTTATATTTTATCTAGATAGAGTTATTCTATAGTTTTAATAAAGCCAAAAATTTCTTACAGCTAGAAGAAAGCAGTGGTCATTGCAATATAAAATATATTTTAATTATTCATGCATATAGTAGTATGCTAGACCTAATTTTATAATTTTTAGTTTTATATTCTGTAAAATCTAGGTTTGAAAAATCTACTTTATAATACAAGAGAATCATGAACTAGAGTTGATAAAATGAAAAAAAAAATACTTTAATCACAAATGATAAATTTGATAGAAAAAAGTATATATTTTAGAAATGAAAATACAAAAGAAATTAACCTTATATATCTTAAATGTTGAAAATATTATTGTATTATTATAAATATATTATCATAAATAAAATATGTTAATATTATTATGTATATGGTAATGTGCTAGATCTTTTTTTAATTAATAATTTAATTTTTTTATAATCGATGTTTAGTTTTCAAAATATTTCAGACTTATATGGTCTCATTTGTTGAAAGTTTTCCATGCTTTAAAACAGTTATATAGAGAACTTTTATACGTAATTTTATGTTCTCTAAAAATTTATTGATAAATATTAAAAGTTAGTAGCCTTTGATTTCATTTATCTATATATTTTTATTTTATGAGAAAATTATGGTATGATATGTTCTACTCTTAGTGTAATGCACTGTTTGACACAGCCATTAAGAATTCATAATTTTCTTCAATGAAAATCCTCAATCCTAACAAGGATTCCTAGATTTGTATTGCAAATTTCTTTTCTTCTATGTGCAGTGATTTAAAATGTTAAAAATTATACCTAATGCAATAGTTATAAGGTTTTCTCCAAAACCTTTGGCATTTGAAAGATGAAGAAATAAAGGAAAAAGAAATAAGAAAACTAAATAGCCAGGTAAACTAAAAGTAGTGACATCTAATCAACATGAGTATATAATTGTGTATCAAAATAATTGCTAAAAATTTCATTAAATTATTTAGTGTCAATAATGTATTAGTCAGATTCACTAACTAATTGTAATAACACTTCAAGAATTAACAAACTCCAAATGCACTACTTCAATTTCTTTGTGCACATTAGCTTCACTTCTTTTTTTTAGTTACTGTTACAATCTTTGGACATTCATTTTTGATGGATTAGTAATGGGTTTAAAGCGTTTATTCTTAATACAATGCTCTTTTAAAAATTTTAGATCTTATTATGAATATAATAATAATATTTTATATGTTTATTCTTAACATTTCTTACTAGATTGATTTAGTGGTAGTGTTGTATAACTAATTGTAATCAACAGTGATATGCTTTAATTAACAAAAATTACATCCAAGAAAAAACTCAATTAGCTTCTCTATGAATCTGAAGAATACTAAACCCACTATGAAGGAAATCCCTCAAAACTTTTCACCATCATTCTTCTATATTTCATTCTATATTATTATAATCTATTTATTTTATATTAATCTTATATTTTATTTGAAGATCCATAAAAAATTTACATAATTTTCTTAAATATACTAAGTCTACTTAAAATATCAATATATTCCCACCTTTATAAAATATATGCTTAAAAAACATTTTCACAAAAGAAATCAAGTGATACTTCTAAAGGTGGATTTGGGATTTCTGGACAAAGGAAATGGTAATTTTCCAAGACTTCATATATGGGAATATCCCTATACCCACAATCTTAAAGACAGTGCTCCACAGAAAGGAAGCCTTTAGTTCAAACTATAGATTTTGATGAAGCATGGTACCTACAAAAGTGGCAAAACCAAGAAATTGACCCCAAAATTCCAAAATTCCAAGCAGAGACCTCAAGAAGTTGACCACAGGATATAGGATAAGTTCCTTAATGTTGGAGACTATCCTGGAATTGATAAAAAAACAAACTTCTTTAGACAATCAGTGTTATGTGAGGTAATTAAAAAGCTGAAAAGAAGTGTGTTGAGGATGATCTTTGATCAACAGGTTTTATGAAGAACTAGCAGCAGCTATGGTTGTGACACCTCCGTAACCTCAGCATCCACCACTGCCGCTGCAGCACCAGCAAGTAGCCTTTTGACCATACTGTCCACATGATCCATTCGTCTCATAAACATAAGCTCTTATCACCTTTAGGGGGTGTGTTTGTTCTGACAGTGTGATGTCACAGGTTGAAGATGATTATGTGTACGAGCTTCTAGAGGCATGGCATCTAAAAAGCTGTATGAGATCCCCATCTATGCAGGAGAACAAGGTAAAAACAAAGAAAAACTTGATCAGTTTTTGTTCCTCATTCGTTTGCTTTTCTTCCATGCAGATGCTCCAAAGTTCTCACAATCAATCTGCAACACTAGATCCATGGTGGAAGCTCTTAATTTGTTTCCAACCAAAGACTTTTAATTTCTTTTCCAAATTTACAACACTACATTATAATAAACTCGAGCTTACTTTGCATGCGCTTAGAAGAAGTCTCAATCTGGAAGAATGAGTGGAGCTATGAGCAACCAAATGTATAGTGCCGCTGTGAACCACATTGTGCCAATCCGGACCCATTTTGAAGGCTAGCCAACGTCGATAGCATCCTTGTCTCCAGTCTGGTGAGCAACATAGCCGAGTATATGCTTGCAAGAGATAAAAGAATGAGTAGATGTACGTGACAGGACGGTGCTGGGACGGCTTCTTTGCTTCGTGGAAGTCGTGCTCAGATCCAGTGCTGCTTAGTTTGTTACTGTTTTTGAAATC